TAACCCTGACAAGGTTAAACTTGCGCGACTTTGCCCGGTTTACCATTGGCGTCGACTGTGAAGGGGGCGTTATTGACAAATTACCTGGCGGGGGGGTGAAACATGGTTTAAACTGAATGATATTTTTTTTTGAATTATTTAGGACCAAACTAAGTCCTTTAACGCACCAGGCTTTATCGATATACGACTTTTAATTTTTAATTTTTTTCAGGGTCGGGCGGGGGGGTTAAATGATGAGATAAAAAAAAATAAAAAATTTACGGTTACTTTAAAACCATTTGACAACTTTTAAAACTACAGGCATAACGCAATAAAAAAATCGACCCACGCTAATACATAGTATACGTCATGATAATGATTTGTGATGGGTCATCAGAGTACATTTTTCCGGCGAGGCTGATAAAGAAGTTCTGCTTTCGCTTGTTTACGATAATACAAAGTGTATTATCGTTTGACCCTTGATATTTGACCCGAGACGTTTGTTATTAAAATTAATACTGAGACAAACACTAAGATTGCCCTAGAAATAAATCTCTGCTCGGATATTAAAAAAACTGAGCACTTTTCAGTTAATTAGCAGCACTCGGACGAACGGACGGAATTTGCAACAAATATTTTTTGCTTCGTTTTGTGTTCATCCTTGTTGCCAAACATTCTTTCACTTTCTCTTTCACCCTTCCTCGAATTTTACCCGTCCAGACGCTATTCTGATTTCAATTTTTATTTACTCCTCTAATATGGAATTTGGTGTCCATCCTTTTAAACTCAGTATCCATTTGTAATACCTTCTTTGTATCCTTTCTAGTTCTATCCTCCCTAATATTCGATTTCTCATCATTTAACTCCATTCCCTTTCTTTCTCAATGCCTCTAAATTCTTCCCATCATTTCTTTCATCTGTCCTATCTCTGTTGCCATTATTACTGTATCGTCAGTATATACCAGGGACCATATCTTCCTTCTTCCCACTACGATTCCTACACTTTGACCCTGGCTATATTTTCTCCTGTATGTACAAATTTGGATGGTTATTTTTAATCAAAGAATTAACCCCTTTCGTATATGTACATCATATTTAAAAACCCCCTTTTCGATCGTTCCCTTACTTTTTCTAAAACCCATTTTGTGTTTCCTCCAACATTTTGTTCTCTATTTCTCTTTCTAACCTTCTATTCAATACCATCGCATGTATTCTGTAGGCAGTCGTCATTATCCTGATATAATTGTCAATATAGTCTTTATTATCTTTTTTTTTATCGGCAATATTACCCTTTCCGCGCATTCTTCCGGCAGCCCCCCTCCTTTCAACATCTTTTTTATTAGTTCCTCAGCTTCTCCTTGATACTATCTGTGGCGATAATTCAAGTCCCATTTTTTTCATCCCTTCCTGTCGCTTTCCCTTTCTTCAGTCTCGTTAGTTGACCCTTAAATACTTCTGAAATATCGGCTTTCTACCTATCTAATCTTCCCCCTGATTTCCTTGTAGTAACTTATTAATATGCTTCTTCCAGTCTTCTATTTGTATTTCTCTCGCTTGGTATGTTTTGCCTTTTCCTCTGTTGGTCCTCTTCCAATCGTCATCTGTTTTTATTTACCTGATTCGTTTTTCATATTTTTTCATATTCTTTCTGTTTCCTTTTGTGCTTTTTATTTATGTTGTCTCAACTCCTCCTCCTCCTTTTCTTTCTCTCTACATCAGTAAAAAAAAGTACTTACACTCTCTGTCCCACCATTTTTCACCCTTCATTTACCTATTTTTACACTCCTAAGCATCCCCCCCCCCATATTTTTTTAGTTCCTCTAGTCTCTTTTTATTCGACTCCACAGTTTCTCTTGTCCATAACCTTCCTCTTTGTATCTTTCCATTTCTTGATCTTTCTGTCCCCCTTTTAGCTATTGGTTGGTGATATGTTTATTTTATTTCCTTCAGTATTGTTCCGTTTACTAGTATGTAATCAATTATGGACCTCCATTTCTTGTTTCCGTGTATGTGTATTGCATGTCCCTCTACATTTCCATTTAAAATTCTCCATCCACCCTCTTCTGATAATTCCAGTAACACTTCTCCCTTTTTATCTCAATCTCTATCTCTTGATTTTCTATCCTGTGTTACTCTGCCCATCTCTACCCATTTTCCTTTATTACCTGTTCCGGCATTTAAACCTCCTCGCAATATTAGCCCCTCCTCCTACCTTTCATCTACAATGTTTTCTATATTATTCTTAACACCTTTCATTCCTTCTCTGTTGTATGTAGTTATCACTCTCATTTTGCTCCCCTCTACTTCCACTGGTCTTCAATCAACGAAACAGAACTCGTGACCCCAGTTACGCCGAAATGAACGCGCACTCCTGCCTTTTCGTTACACCAAAATATCAAATTCCGATAAAATAAACCAATGGAAATTAAAACATTCACACATACAGGAGTCTCCGCCCTTATCTCCGGAATTATTCTAACCTAAAGAGCTTCCATCTGACCCAACATTATGTCACGTTTAGTGAAAATGTAAGTTCTTCCTATAGTAGAGTTATTACCTTAGTTCTTTATTTTCGCCGCTAGAGGTCATTTGAGTATTATAGGTTTCTTTTACCTTAGTATTTTTACTTTTGCTGCAGGTAAAGTGCCGTGCAGATGTTTTTCATATTTCTAATACCACCCCTTCTTTAATTCGATGTGGCACACGAGTTTTACTCCTCTCGCGCAGTAAAGATTTTGCTTTCATATTGTTTGTAGGCAATTATTTTTCTGATATGCCATTATTTTTTTCTTGACTTAGTGTCTTATGGATTTGGCTACTACCATATTTTTCTACTTCTGATGTGCCTGTGGTTGCTCCATTGAAGTAATAAGTGTGAGGTGTGTAATTATGATTAAGGATTCTTCGTAATACGTCAAAATTCCCTCAAATTTTCTTATAGTTTTCTCTTCTGGATAACTGATTCGTTATGATCTACCTGGATATTACTTATTACATACGCAGTACGTGAATGACATTGTATTTTTACCTTGTCATTTCAGCAAGACCGGCATTATCGACGTCACGTGACAGATGAGTTTCTACATTACCTGCTTCAAAAATTTACACCCGGTGACCTACTTAGATGGAAGTTGTTTACCTACGCTCCGATAGTGTTCCTGTCTAACTGCAAGCATTAACGAAACCTTTAATTGGAGAGTATTATTAGTCTTGCAAATCGCTCCGATATTTGTGATTTTTACTTACACTACCTTCCGAGACCCGATTTTATCGATGACTACTCTTGGTACTCGGAAAGTTTATATAAAATATATCACCGATTTGTACGGACAATCCATGGTCGAATCAAAATTTTGCTTTTGCTAGTGTAAAGTCATTCGAATTATTCATCCTTATTCCGTATTAATTACGGTTTTGGTATACGATTACTTAGTGTTAGACGTTTATTTGTCCAGCAACGCATTAGATTAATGTGTAACTGCCTTTCTGTTTCAAAATCAACGTGGTTTCAGTCCTATAACTTCTTTGATTCGATCCATAAACAAGCTCTTAATAATCGCCAGTCTTTATGGCATTTTTAAAGAAATTTCTCTTCCTTTATTCTTTTTTTGCATTTAATCATGAGAAAATTCACAACTGATTTGACAACCACACACTGATAACTAAAAGTACTTTTTTAAAACTGCGCAGACAATTGCTAAACCGCAATATTTTGCTTCGCGCTATTCACTACCCCTATTGTTTCTTTGTTTGTATTGTTATCTGTTATGGATAAGGCATAGGGTGCCCTTCTGAGCTCAAAAGGTTTGAACCTGAAATTAAATTTTTTTTTCGATTTCACATCAATTTAAATCATGGGTTGCATTAACGAGCACAATGGTTAGGAGTTTTTCAGAAATGTCTGCTCCTTTCACACTGCTAGACAAACATATCGAGCACATGTTACATTGTAAACGGTCCTAGCTGTTACAGGCTACCCTGAGCCTCTTCGTAACTAAAGGACCTCTAAAATCTCCCTTCTGCTCGTGAAGATAACCTGTATATGTTTGGTTACCTACGTTGAGGAACACAGGGAGCTCTTCTGCGTAGCTCGATATCGGAGATCCAGGTCACCTCTAATTAATTAACTAAGCTTGGTAGAATATAAGTAATATAATGATTAGAAAATATATACACAATTTAACTAAATATTTACAATTGCACAGAAACTAAATTATAATGGCTGAATGCGACCCAACTTGAAACGTTGACAGAAGGGGTCCTTGATTTACCTTGTAGTTTTATTCATGTTTTATTTATCTCTGTAATTTAACCTGTTAGTATCCAGTATCAAAATCGGCAGGTAGTTTCAGAGATAATTTCTTGTAAGTTTTTCTTCTTGTAAGTTTTTACGTTATAACCCAACTAAAACATTACCCAGGGTATATTGCAGGAGTGATCGGCGAGCGCGAACGTACATTCGCAGCGTTTACCGAAATTTAAAAAACAGGTAAACTTAATTAAGAGCGCGGTTATACAGCCGGACACCCTTAATCCACGGAAGGTATCCGGGAAGAGCGCGCTATTACAACCGACACCTCTACTTTAACGGAGGGACAGGTAAATTATTCTCAGAGCGCGATCTACAATCGCTACTCTAACCAAGGAACAGGAATGTTCTGGTTCGGTTTCCGTATATATGGAAGGAAGTGGAAATTAGTACAGTGCAATTAGACCCAAACCTCAACATCCAAAGTAAAAGTTTCCCTCCAACTGCAAATTATTCTATACAGTCCACAGATTGTGCAGTAGAAAGTTACACCATTTTAACCGTACTAAATGTAATGGTGATAGTAATTATACCTACTGGTGGGAATGTCAACAAATATGACGTCTCCGAAACTACCGCCCTCCCTTCATAGAAATTTAGATTAATTTCAGATTCCTACAGGAGTCAAATTACGAATTAATCCCATTAAATTTCCCATCATTACAGTTCACACCTACAGCTGTAAGAGCTATGGGGATCTTTCTTCTACATAATTTAAGCATACTAAATGTAATTATTGTTCTAGGAGACATGGACGAAACAGGAATCATCTTGTTACTCACCGTATTATTCAAATTAGTTCTACAATCAACACAGATATGCGTACGAGACTACTACGGTGGCCAAGTTTCTTGTACCAGTCTTCAAGACGTAGCATCTAATAGCGGTTTCCAGTACCTACGGATTGAAAACACAACTATTACAGCATTGGAAGGAAATGCATTTGAACGACACCGTTCTCTGTATGAACTTTCGCTCAAGTCTGTACACATAGCTGCGATTGACGATAACGTATTCAAATATTGGCGAAACCTGCGTAAACTGGATTTGGAAAACAACGAAATCGGATACATTGGATTTCTAAAGGGGTCACGATTGCAGTACTTGAACTTAAATTTTAATAATTTAACTATCTTTGCCACACCAGACTTTTCTATGAATGAACTGCAAGCCTTATCAGCAACTAACAATTACATTGAAAAGTTTGACATAGATTCATACGGCCTTAGAGAGTTGGATCTATCTTACAACCGTATTAAAAGCGATGTCGATTGGCTTGGGAGCAGATTTAAAAATTCAAACAATCTAAACGTGTTGAACATAAGTTTCAATCCGATAGTGGCGTTGCAGACAAACTCATTTACAGGTCTCAGTAGATTAAAACGCCTTTACCTCAAGAATTGCAGTATACAGAAGATCGATACGCCCTTCGATGTACTGACAGAATTGCATACGCTTGATTTGAGTAGTAACGATTTGCAAAGCTTACACAGCAACATATTCAGTAAGCTCTCCTCTCTAAGGTACCTCCTCCTTGAGTACAACCACATACGCACTTTAGACTTGACTGGATTCGCGGGATTGCGCAATCTCATGCTTGTGGACCTGTCCCATAACCAAATCCAAGAAATAAGTGTGGATCAGTTCCAAGAAAATGGTTTTCTGCTTCAGGCAGAGGGGTCGAAAATGTTAAACCTGAGTCATAATGGATTAACCGCGTTACCTTCAAACGTCTTTAGGATCTTTGTTCACATAAATCTGGAATTTAATCCTATTAGAAACGTGAAAGAGGAAATGCATTTTGGTGCACCAAGTGTGCAATCCCTCACTTTGGCCGGTACCAACTTTGAGTCATTCCGGTCGATTTTGGGCAGCTTGAAGAACATTCGTGATTTGAATTTATCTTACACCAATACTCAGCAGATCGAGATAGATGACTTCTCGAAGTTGACTCATCTGGAAACCTTGGATTTGAGCAATAATAATATATCTGAAATCAGAGAGAACTGCTTCACTTATCTGAACAGCTTACGTATCTTATTGGTGCGCAACAGTTCGCTTACCGAGATAAAGTTTGGCTCATTCATCGATTTGCACAGTTTGAACCATTTAGATTTGTCACAGAATCAGATCAGAAACTTAAAGCGACGGACCTTTACTGGATTGCGTCAGTTAGAGAGTTTGGTGCTGAATTGTTCACGGATCGCCCGCGTAGAACCGGAAGCCTTTCAAACTTTGGAGGCATTGCGAATTTTAGATTTGAGCGATAATGACCTTACAGGTTTAGAGCCGAAGAGCTTTGCTGGTCTAATAAACCTTCAACGGTTATATCTCAACAATAACACCGTCAAATACATTTCGTCTGGAAGCTTCGACGGCTTGGAAAGCCTTGTCTTTCTCGATCTGTCCATGAACAATATTATGGAACTGAAAACATCCGCATTTCAAGGCTTAAATCAACTTCAACAGCTCTTCCTGAACAGGTCCAGGATTAAAAGTATCAGCCACGGCGCTTTCTCGTTTTTAACTACGGTGGACTACTTGGACTTGTCCGGCAACGCAATTGACATCTTGCGCAATGGAACGTTTTCTCCATTAAACTCGCTCAGGGAGCTAAACCTCTCCAATGCGGAAATCGGCGAAATCGAAGGAGGAACATTTAAAAACCTACAGTCGCTAGTCTCCTTGCATTTGGGTGACAATAAATTCACCGTACTAAGAACGAATACCTTTGCAGACCTTCCGATACTTCAAACGATAGGCTTACACTACAATCAACTGGAACTTATTGAAGCCAAGGCGTTTTCCAACCTTGGCAGTTTAAATTTCATAGACCTACAAGGCGCCCGCATCAAGAACATCGGAAGCAGTGCGTTTCAAAATCTCTATTCTCTGAGAGACTTGAACCTTTCTGGACTGTCAGTTGAGAATATGGAACCAAACACATTTAACTCAATGCCATATCTGAACACCTTAGATTTAAGCAACAACAATTTTAGCGTGATTCCCTCTGATTGCGTTCGAGACCTTGGCCAACTACAATTCGTCAGCTTGCGCAACAGCAAACTAAGGCAGATTGAGCACGGTGCCTTCTCCGATCTGCCGAGTTTAAATTTCATTGATTTTAATGGATCTTTGGTTGAAAGTATCGAAACCGGCGCATTTTCACGTCTCCCGCATTGGAGTAATATGATCAATTTGTCGGGGTTATCCTTGAAAAGTATCAACTCCGGAGCATTTAGCGAGTTACAACTTGAGGCGACTTTAATTTTGAGTCACAATCTACTAAGGGTCGTGCACACGGAAACATTCCCCGTAAATACGTTTTTGCGATTGGATTTAAGCTTTAACGAAATTTCCGAGTTGGAACCTAACGCGTTTGACCAGTTAAAATTTCTAGAATTGGGAGTGCTCAGTCTAGAGCACAACAAACTGTCAACTCTCCAATCCGGAGCATTTTCGGGACTTCGAAATGTCTTCAAAATTAAAATTGCGTACAATTTGATTGATACCATTGTACCTGGCAGTTTCCAAGAGCTTTGGATGTACCCAGAGTGGACGAACGACTATGACTATTGTGCCATTGAGTTGGATTTTAACAAAATTAGAATTTTGAACAAAAATACCTTTAGGGGTGTCCACGGCTTGCGTACTTTAAGCATTGCGTATAACGATCTCGAGGAGATTGCGCCGAACGCGTTTCTTGCACTGGACTCTTTATATATCTTAAATTTGGGGTACAACAACATCAGCGTTCTGGATCTGCAGTCGTTTTCTGGATTAAGTGGACTACGGCGTTTAATTTTGACCGACAACAACCTATCAAGCTTTCGTATCGGGACATTCTCCCACTTGTCTGCCTTGGAGTACCTCGACTTATCTAACAACAAAATTGCTAAATTAAAAGTGATCGTGTTTTACCCACTAGGCGGACTTACAAGACTAAATTTGGAAGGAAATAGTTTCAACAGTCTCAACCACAACCTTCTCGTGTACTACCTCAGCTCACTTAATGAAATCAATTTGCCTAATAGTGTGTGGCCGTGTGGAAAACTAACAGAAATGCTGAAGGTATTTAGGAATAAACACGTTAAATACCTACCCGACAAAGACAGTGGGGTATTTTCTAGTGAAAACGTCGAAGGTATCAGCTGCTATGACAGAAACGAGGAAAGTTTGTCCAGATCAAGCTTGGAAACGATGCTGGATGGGGTGGAAGACGCCATGAAGGTGCTGGAGAATGCCATATCTAAAGTAAACGAAAATCTTAATAATTACCCTGTCGATGAATTGTAGTAGTTTAGTTACCTACGATTTATAATATGTGAGATCGATTGTCGACTGCACAAGATTGCTGTTTGTGTCGATTGTTTACTTATATTAAATTTTTAAAATTGGTGAGTAATTTCTTAGGATAGAAGACTCAACCCTCAGTTTCCCTGGTTCGTGTTGCATTTCGGGCACTTAGGCATAGTCACTGCAGGCCGGTCACAACTAAAACAATGCACGTTCTGTGGCATCGGACAATTTATTAGGCGAGAGTTGCACCGGTTGATAACAGATTCAACATTTCAAAGTTGAGCTTGAAGAATGAGTATTGCCGATCATAGAGACCTGACTGTTACCTCGAAAAGTAGCTTCAGCTAAAAAAGATTTTGACTGTTAATGAGCGAGGAGAATCAGTCAGAAGAGGAGTTCTTTGTGTTAGTTTTAAAGGTACTCATGCCTTCCAGCATATCCCCTATTATCTATAATAAGTCTTACCTTAATTTTTGTATAACTTTTTTATTTTTATTTTTACAGGAGTTGGCCGTATCTAGGATTTTTATTGCCCTAAAAAGGGTTACCTAGACTTCGTTGCCGTCCCTAACCACTTGGAGGTCTCTGTAAATTTATTTAATTGTCTTGTTTAAAATTTTACTTAGTTTTCTTTTTTGAATTTTGCTGCAAAAATTTCCGAAAATGCTTCTGATATTTTTTTCTTGTAGACATTGAATTTTGTTAACAGGCCAAATGATAATTCCTTTTAATTCCAATAAATTTTTAAAGTCTTCTCTTTCAATTTTAAATTCTTCACATTCATATAACAAATGTTCAGCACTTTCTACTCCATTTTCACATGTACACATATTTGTTTCGCTTTTTTTAATTTTATAAGAAAAAGAATTGAAAAGTCCTCTATTTGTTATAATTTGTATAATTCCTCTATTGATATTCCAAAATTTCCATTTTAATCTATTTGTGATGTTTGGTATGTATTGATATGTTTCCCTCCCCTTGTCCAATTCATCCCAGTCCTCTTGCCATTTATTTAAATAATAATTTTTGATTTGTTTTTTAATTTCTACTCTTGTTAATTTTTCTTCTTCGTCTTCAAAGTTTTCTAAATTTTTATGTGCTTTTGCCGGATGTCCACAATCAATTTTTGTTTTATTTCTTATATATGTATTATAATTTACTACGTTTTCTCCCAAAGTAATATTTTTATCTTTTCTTAAATTATAATTTTGAATCTTTACATTTATTTTTAATGTAATAGGCATTATTCTGGAAATAACTGTTACTGAATTTGTTGCAGTCCTATCATACATGTTAAAAATTCTTCTTAGAATGTAAGATTGAATACTTATAATTTTTTTTTCTTGAAAATTTTTATTCTATTCGCCCATATCACAGCTCCATATAATAATGCTGGCTCCAAAGCACCCCTATAAATAGTTATTAAAGTCTTCTTATTTAATCTCCAATTATCTTTACAAGTCCAAATATATTTCTGAAATAGTTGTTTTATTTTACTAGAAATTTTGTCAATATGCATATTAAGTTTTAATTTTTCCTGAATTGTTATACCTAAATATTTTACGTTATTTACCATTTTTATTTGTTTATTATAAATTTTGATTGTAGGGGGTCTTTTAATGTCCAAATTTTCTTTAAAAAGTATAATTTCCGTTTTTTCATGTGATATTTTTAATTTAATTTCAGTGCACCAATTTTCAAAATTTTTTATTATTTCATTTCCAGTAGTTTCTAATTTTTTTCTTGAGTTTTCTTCAACTATAAAAATTTTATCATCTGCATATGCAATTTCCCTCACAATATTTAGAATGTTAAAAATGATATTCCAAAAAGTAGGCCCCAATAGGTACTGATCCTTGTGGACAACCTTTACTGATCTCTTTTGTTATTTTTTGATATTTATTGCTGTATATTGTAATTCTGTCTGTTAGATAACTTTTAATAATTTTCTGTATTGATAAATCGCATTTAATTTTTCCTAATTCATATAGAATAGCCGGCCACCACACATTGTCAAACGCACCAGCTATATCTATTGATATTCCTAAAACATATTTTTTTCTGAATTTTCAACATTTTTAAATAGTTCCAAAATTGCATCTTCCGTCGATCTTCCTTCTCTAAATCCAAATTGTTTGTTTGATAAAATTTTGTTTTTTTCCAAATAATTCAATCTATCATTTAATAATATTTCCAATATTTTTCCTAAACAACATAATAACATTATTGGTCTATAGCTTTTTATATTAAGTGGATCTTTTCCTTCACCTGGTTTTTTAATGACTTTTTTTCCAACAAACTGGAAAATATCCTTCAACTTCAAAATTTTTAATTTTTTTCTAATAAAAGGATAATTTTTTTTAATAATTTCATTATTTATTAAATCTGGACCAGGAGCTTTTTTATCTTTTTGTTTCTAAATTTTTCGAAATTGTTGCAATTTTGAATTTCAGTTTCTAAAAATTTTCTTTTTTCTTTTTGTTGTTTCAATTAAATCGTCGTCTGTTATTTGTTACCAATTTTTTTGCCGTTTCAATCCAAGTTGTTGTCATTTTTTCACCATATTTAATTGTTGAAGGTATGTTTTCTTTTTTATTTTTACTTAATTTATATATTGCACCCCAAGGTTTTTCATTGCCACGTTTCGTTACAAATTCTTTTAAATAAATTTTCTAATTTTCATCACTTCTTTCCTTTTGTTTGTTAAATTTTCATTCCACCAAAAGTTATATCTTTTTTTACCGTATTTAATTTTGGGTATTGACTCGTTACATATATTTTGAATGTTATTTGTTAATTTAATTATATTTTCTTCTATATCATTTACATTTTCTATTTTTAAGTTTCCATTAAAATAATTACTTTCGTTTGATAATTTTTCAAATAAATCCCAATTAGCTTTTTTTGTCGAATATCTATTTTTATTATTTTCTACAATAATTTTATCTTGTTTTCCGAAATTTATATTAAATGTAATGACATTATGATCGCTAACTGTTAAATTTTCATGAACTTTCCAATAAAAATTTTATCCATTAAATTATTTGTAATTAAAGTTGTCAACATTTGTTAATCCATTTCCTATGTATGTGTGTGGATTATTAGGTTTATTTGAAATTATTAAATTATTTTCTGCTATGAATTGTTCCACTTTTTTTCCTTTTTTATCTGTAATATTATTAAACCACATTGTAGATTTTGAATTTGAATCCATACTTATTATTAATCTAGGATTTCCTAAAATTTTTAATTTTATTCAATTTCTTCAATATATTTTTCAATTTCTTCAGAAAATTGTACATAAGAATTTATAATCGTTATCCAGCCTAAACCATTTGTAATTTTTATAACAACAGTATGTGTAGTAAAAAAATGTCCCAATTTAATTATTTCCAAATCATTATTTAAAACAAATATAACTGACATTTTCTCCTCATCAATCTTACCACCAGTTATTATCTTAGAATTTGGAAAACCAATTATTTTATTTTTAAAATTATAAGGTTCCTGTATTAATAAAATATCTAATTCTTTATCGTTTGAAATTTGAAATAATTCACCTGCTACTGTTTTCGAATGCTGTGAATTTATCTGTAAAAATGTTATTGGTTTCTTAAAATTTTTATTATTATCTTTAAATTCGATAATTTGTCCTTTTTATCGATTGATCCACCATAACTTTGTAAATCGGGCACTCTTCACTTCTTACATTATGATCATGTTGTTTTCCATAATTTTTACAATTTGCACATATAATTTTTTCTGATTTACATTCCTGAAAACTATGTCCTTTTTCAGCACATTTACCACAAACGTTTTCACTATTTTTACAATATTTTGCTGGATGCCCAAAACTCTGACATTTGTAACATCTTGTTACACTAATGTGATTTTGTATTCTACGCCTATTCCAAAAAATATACATTTTTTCTAAATTTAAAAGTTCACTAGTCAAATTTTGTTTTATAAGGGCTTCTAATATTTTTTCTTCTTCTAAATCGATGTCTACGTCATATAAAATTAATTTTGGTCCACTTGTTTTAGGTATTCTTAAGTCTACTCCTTCCTCAATCAAATGTTTATTATTTTTTATTTTATCTAGATCATTTTTATTAACTGTTTCTATTAGTACTCCATTATTTTTTGTTTATTTATTTTTTTAAATTTTTAATCCCTCTTTAGTTGGATCTATTAATTTGTTTATTTTCTCTTTAATTTTTGAACTACTTTTACCTTGAGCACTTAATATTATAACATTAGATGGTTGCCATTCTACTTTCTCTGTTATATTTGTATTAATTATTTTTTTATTGTGACTATAATGTTTTGCTGCCATATCTGCATATGTGCTTTTAACTTGCTCTTTATCTATTGCAATATTTTTTATTTCTTCAATTTGTTTAAACATTACATCCTCATAAACTTTATTATTATTATCATATGTTTGAACTACTCCCTCTAAATAAGTTAATTTTTGTAATACTGTATTAACTAATGTTTTAAGTTCATTCATTTTCTCTATTAAATTTTTAGATTATGTTTTATTAATTTTAGTATTAGTATTGAAAGTTAAATCCATAATATACTTACTTAGTTCCTTCATTTTATTTATGCCTTTTAAATTATTAACATTATTTATCTCATCACTCATCAGGTAACTCCCTACGCTTTCTTTCCTTTCGTTCTTTTTTTGTTTCTTTATTTTCCTCACCACTGTCTCTATTAACTTTCCTTTTCCTATTTGATTTGTCATTTGAAATATCAATTTCACTACATGAAGATAATTGTACTTCCATGTCCTCAATACAATTGTCATTATCTTTGTCATTGTCATTGTCCCTTATATTGTTCACATAGTCCTTATCTAAGTCTTTAGTTTTGTCTTTAGGATTCATTTTAGTCTACGCAAAATGTAAATTAAAATCTTACCCTAATTTGGTAGGCAAATTCTTTTTCTCTTCAAAACTTTGGTGGCGTTTCAAAACTATATTCTTATAAAGGCTCCCTTGGTCCAAAATTGAATAAGACTTCAGCTGCCAGAACGTGCTATCTTGCGGGTTCACCCGTAATGGCTTCCCAAAATATTTCTCTGAATAATCCCTACC